AAAAAAAAAAAAAAAAAAAGATTTATATGTGTGAATGAAATCTTAAACTTCAATTGTTGTTGTTGTTGTTGTTGTTGTTGTTGTTGTTGTTGTTTATGGCCTCTTGTCATTTAGAACTGGAGGGCGAAGAAGCGAAAGAGGGCTGGAATAGTCTCGAATGATGCAGCCCATTACATTTTCTATTGTTTACATACTTCACAGAATGAAATTAGTTCTGGTTGTTACTTTAGTGGGGGACGTGCACTCGGAAACTTTCTAGATTTTTTTGGGTCCGGCTCGATCACAAAACAGAACTATCACGATGTTTGCCTTTTATACCTGCAGCCGCTTGGTTCCTAATCAAAAGCTGTATGCTTTGCAAATAAATTCCCACTCAAAGTTAGAGACATTTCAAGAAGAATAATCAAGAAAAAATTTTCAACGAATACTTCATAAGCGTTCTCGCATGTTACTTTTCACGTGGGATAAAATAATTAATTTCTTAGAATTTTTTTGTTCCATTCATAGCAAAGCCCACCGACTCTAAGCAACTACTGATTAAAGAAATGATGACTCCGATCATACCCAATGGAGTGATTAGCACTATTATTCATCTTGTGATCTACTTCCGTGACAGCAACTGACTCAGCTTTCAAATATTCGTCATGAGAAAAATATAGCGAGCTCACGCTCAAATCCTGTGACTTGAAACACAAAGGAATATCTGATCGCAAGTTATTTTAGTCTTTTACATCGGCAAGAAATTAAAGTAAGGCTACATCTTTCGCGGAATACAATAAATTCTCAACGTGATGCAATTTATTGAACATCAGATGTCGTGTTTGAATATGAGTTGTTGCACGAATATGCAAATTTCTGCGAAAATCGAAAGAAAAGCGACCGGAAAAGAGCCACTCGCAATGAACAAAAGCTATTGTATTTTGAACCAATCATATCTCGTAAATAGCATCATATGACCTTATGATGACGACATACTTCCTTATATGGAGCGGTTTGCCTTCTAGGAGCCTCAACGCAAAACCATCATTGCGTCAGGTTGAGTTGATGTGTCTTCATTTATAATTTTCGTTGCGAAACTTCACCATCGAATTGAGTTGAGTATTTCACCATCATGGCACTTGTATTCCACCTTGATTGTTAGAAGGAAGGCCAAAAAGGCCTTCCAGCGAATCAAACGATCGCCAAAGGTAAGAACGTCGAAGTACACGACGAAAGGACCAAAATTTTTGTGTCCCTGCGAGTTGTCTTACGCCATCACATCGCCACTTTCGTGCAACGTCATATCTCTTACTTGGCAAAAACGGAATACACGTAAGGCCGTATACGGACGCGTTTTGCTGATTTGGTCGCCTCCGTTTCTCTTTATTCGTACAACGAAAAAGAGTTTACTTGAAGGAAAATTGCGTTGCTTTAAATGAACTCTTCGACGACTCGGTACCATCCCTATCAGCGCAATGCATCCAAAACAAATATTGAATCTACGCCATTACCAAACTTGACTATAACTCATCAAGCGACGAAGCGAACAAATGATTTACCGCAGATATGCAAGGTTGGAAAATACCTTTTATTGGAACGTCCCGGTGGAAGTGCTTTATACAAAGCAGTGGACACTGAAACAAGAACAGAACTTGCTTGCAAGATAATAGATGTCAATAAATTCCGGGAGACACTAGCGCCGACCTTTCACTTGCCACCACACGATGGCATCAACAAGATTATCGAAATTTTGGTCAGTGACTCCTACGCATATGTATTTTTTGAGCGATCCTTCGGAGATTTACACTCGTACGTTAGAACGAAACGCAGACTTAAGGAGGAAGAAGCTAGCAAACTGTTTCATCAGGTCGTCAGTTCAGTTGCACATTGTCACGAATCGGGTGTTGTCTTGCGCGACCTGAAACTCAGAAAGTTTGTGTTTCAAAATCCAGAGAGGTAAGCGTTATTTTTACTCAATCTGCAGGGGAAGGAGGTTTTTGGGAATCTGTAGTGCTCACAGATAAGAGTAATTGGCATTTTCCATGTGCTTTATTGCTAGATCTATTCAGTATTGTTCGCTCGCTCCTCGTGGCGAAGATTGTGTGAACAGTACAGCGTGGCTAAGAACGGGTACTGGTTTGTTTGGGTCTCGTTCGCTTAGCTACGAGGCGGTTTTATTCAAATTACTGGACTTTTCTATGATAGAATAGATAGATAGTTCTAGCTTGATTGCGTTCATCGTGTCCGTGACCAAAGGCTTTGGGAACTGGCACGTATTTTCTGTTTTTTCATGACAATAACATTTGTGTTTCGTTTATGGCAGTCCATTTCCGGTTCGCAGCGTTTTGTAGGCACCTGCACTAGGAATGCATGAAATCTTTCTCGTGGCGTAGTTTTAGCAACAGAGTATCGAAAAATCGAAAAAAAATTCTTGAAATACGAGGCAGGATTGAGGGGATTGTTGGAAGAACCAGATTTTTTGATGCGACAATTCGTGTATGTGGGCCGATGTTTTATCATTCAACTTTCGTCATTCGCGTCGCGTCGTTGTGGGATGAAAGAGAAATGCCAAAAAATCGCGCGCGTAGTGTAAATTGAATCCGTAACCGAGGGAAGTTTGTTTGCGATCGCTTTTCGTTCCCCTCCGCTTTTTTTTTCCGATCCCGGAACTGGCGGGCTTTTGCGGCGGGAAATTTTAATCTTCATTGTCATTCAACCCGAAAATAAATCATGAAATCGTCGCTAGGTAAGGAAATGGGATCAATTTTGACAATTGGATTTTGCCGAGAAAGCTTTTAACATCGTCGGATCGTATTTGATTTTACGCGCCGTTGATGTGGTGCCTTACAATCGAGTCGTTGGCAGATGAAATCATTCTCCACGTGGCATCGCAAAATCTCAAAACGTTGCAACTTGTTCAAGCGGAGGTAGCCACGTGGAAGCGTGATCCTTCCTGCTTTGTGCTTTATTGTGGAAATATCTGTTCGTTCCACTACAAAACAATCATTGTGGAAACAATTACTTTGCACGCTTTTATTCTTTAACGGACAGCGTGTTTCGATGATTGCCCATTGTTTTCAACGATTTCAAAAGACGAACGGCGGGATGACATTTCGTTGATTTGTGGACGGAAACGTTTAAAATTGCCGCGGGCAGAAAAAAAGAAACTTTTCAAATTAAACACTGATTTTTCAGTATTATATATTGATATTATACTTTTGACCACAATTGCTTGAAATTTCCTGTCTTAAAATGTTCAATATTCCTCCATAAGGGCACACTGGGCAATTTACGATGTCTATTAAACTGCTTTTTGACACTTAACCATATCCAACAATCGCTCTGGGTTATTTTAAGTTTTTATAACAAAGGAGTGTGGGTGTTGCACTTTACTTCCTTGTCGCGTCGTTTTCACTTCTCTTTGGTTAGATTTATGTTTTAGCGACATCTGCGGTGATCTCACTTGGTCTTACAGCACAAATGACACAAAAAATTTTGGTGGAGCACGCTCAATTTAAACACAGCTGTCCAAAGCTATCAGTGTTTCCTTTTTTACCTCTAGGAAATCGTGGGCACCCTAAAAATAATACTTTAAAAGCGATGAAATTCCCTATTCTTCAGGCATGATATTTGTTCATTTCTCAAGGCACTTTAAGCTACCTTGTAGCCTGAAGTAGATGTCAACTCATATAATCTATTAGAAATGTATTCAAAAACGATCATATGATTCCAATCAGAAATTAAAAATGCAACGAAATGAGCAACACCACTCGAGTCGCGCTGTTTATCTTGCATGAGTAGAGGTATAAAATGTATATTGTTACTTTCTGCATGAGGCAGTTGTGAGGTTTTCTTAATAAAGTTGTGCTTATATGCGGTGCAGATGTTTTGAACAAGTGAGTTTGTGAGCGGAAATCCCAGCTTAAATTAGAATTGAAAGACTAAGAGTAGATCTCTTCAACAGAAGATCGGCTTTTGAAGGGGGAAAACGCTCTTTCAGAACACTTTGAATCACAACTCTTTTGTTAGGTTGCACATTTACTTTCGAAACCCATGCTCCCAAAATATCGTCCATTGATCGGGCTCGTTACAATGTAAATTTGATCTGTTTTTAAGTGCACCAGGGAAGCCATGCTATCGCCTTTTGTTTGTCTTATTTGTTAAGAATGTTTAGCGGTAAGTGGTCTGGATTTCTTAAGCAATACCAGCAAGCCTTCGGTGAATGTGATTCATGTGAATCAAAGCGAAAAGTACACGTGCTTTTTGACGCGCGAACATGTGGCCCCCGCCCAGTTTGTTGCTTCCTTCAGGGAATAATCGGCTTCGAAATGTACTTCATTTCTGGGATTCATACTAGAATCGTGCAGCCTTCTTGTTTACATGGAGAGCGATTGTACTGTAGACGTTCTGCGCTTTAATGGTCCGATTTTTATTTTTCTTCTTTTGACGGGGAACTGACTACCATATGTCTGATATTGAAATGAAACCGTTTGTTCACGGACGTTCCGGTTTGGTCTTTTGTTTCTTCACCCTTCAACCTCTTTTCAGCTCTTTCTTTGTCTGTGAAATAAATAAAAGACTACGGCATTCAGGATGCTTAAGCGCCTCAAACCGGAAAAATGAACTCGAACGATCTATAAGAGAAGTTTTATGCTTGAGGGAAAAAACCATTTGAATGCTCTAGAAAACCATTTGAATGCTTTTCACGTGCTCAAATTACCCACGTGGCTCGCGGATCACGGATCCCTTCTTACCGCTCCCTTTGTTCTTTGTTCGATTTTGTGTGCTTTGTCCTCGTTAGCCCTAATTGCCTTGGAGGTATCTTGCGAAACCCTGAGCAGTCCGACACTTCAATATGGTTTGCGATTCTTCGTAGGAAAGAAACACGACAAGGCTGTAATATTTTACGTTTGTTAACATACCTTGTTTTATTTCTCGCAGAACTACGGTGAAACTTGAAGGATTAGAGGACGCTTTTCCTCTTGATGGACAAGATGATACGCTGGAAGACAAGCACGGGTGTCCGGCTTATGTCAGCCCAGAGATCTTGCAAGCAAGCGGCGGTTACTCTGGCAAGGCCGCCGATGTCTGGAGTCTAGGTGTTATGCTGTACACTATGTTGGTTGGACGGTACCCGTTTCACGACACAGAACCCAGCGTGTTGTTCTCGAAAATCAGGCGAGGACATTTTACAATTCCGGACACGATCTCGTCGAAAGCGAAGTGTCTAATTCGCTCTATGATGCGCCGGGAACCGACCGAGAGACTCTCGGCGCGGGAAATTCTCGAGCACCCCTGGTTCATGTCCAGTTTCCATATTACTAGTCCTTGTAAGATAGATCAGAAACTTGCCGATCAAACAGTGCCAGACTTGGCCTCGGACGACACACCGTCTTTCTTTCTCTGAATGCCGTAAATAATAGCAGATTATTTAATTTACCTGTATATAACTTATATATATGTAGCTACCTGACGCATTTAATAGTGGCGAGACGAAACCGAGAGTATGTTTTAAAATATCGCAGAGAATTTATCACTGAGATCGATTTTTCACTTCAAAATTATCATTCTTTTTGGCTTTCTTGATATCGATTTTTGACTCGTCTACATCTTATATCTTGTTCTTGTGTGTACATTCTGTTTTTAGTATGAATGGCTTTTTTTGTGCAAAGATACTATTTCAAGGAGGGTGGAACATTTGAACAGCATTCATTTTCCATGTTTTCACCTCTCAGTGCTTTTATTAAGAAGGGAGTTATTTTGCGAGCGCGCGCGAACGAAGCAGGGTTGTTGGTTTGAAAATTACTTAGAGAAGGTTGGAACGTCCCAACATTTACTGTGCTGCAGTCACGGTTTATAGTTGTGATTAAAGACTGATAAAGCGTTGATGTGTTCGTACGTGTCTTGACTTGTAGCTCTGAACAGATAAAATTACTTTTCATCTCAATGTTACGAGCTGTGCAGTAGCAGTCTGCCTTCCCCCCTACCGAAAAAGTCGCTTCTTGTGTCGAAGTGTATAAAATGGGGCAACGATAATCTTGATATAAACCCCTCACCACCTCCGGCCGGATGTAAGCCCTCTCCATTAAAATACAGAAGTAGGCAATGAGTAAACTACCAACGAGATAAAAAACGTTGAGTGAACTCCTCTATTTTGTGATATCTCGCACGCTTGTACTGCGCTCACTAAGATCCCACATGGACGTCGCTAAGCCTTGCGCTTTTAACCGTAAAGGCGCATGGAAAGCGAGAGAGGGACTTCGTGCGAGAGTCGAACGAGACGTCCCGCGCTGCTCGCCGTTTCTGGCGCTGTTCCCCAAACTAACCGAACGCCTTGAAAAGGCTATATGGGACCAGTCGGAATACTGAAGTCGCTTATATGCCACTTTTGCCATATGAAACTTTGCGGTCAATGCAGTGCAGTGCGTTGCATGGTCTCTTACCTTCATCACACCTTTCGCTGTTATTCCTATCCGTTATTTGATCGAGTTGCTTAGATAGATTCCCGCTTCACGGACACCGGCACTGAGTATAACTTCAGAAAAAAACTGAACTTTCCAGGAAACTGACTCAACCCATTTTTACGTACACGTACTCTTTTTACAGTATTTCCGCGGCTTGACAAATAAACTGATTTTGCAAAACTTTTCTTGTAATTACNTTTTTTTTTTTTTTACTTTTTTGTAGGAATAAATTCTTGAAGAATATCGAGGCTGAAATTTGCGAAATTTGTAAGAAAATTTTAAGAATAAACCCTAGGCTGGGATTTGAAAACAATATAATTTTTTTGGTTGAAAATTTGAAAATACAATTAAATTATGTTTTAAACTAAACCGTATCAAATTTTTCCTTTCTTTAAACGCCAAAACTAGTCAAAAAACAACAAACTCAGCACTAGACGTATGTTCGATTCTGCTTTATTGCCTGCAGTATGGCTCAAAAGTTACTTAAATGCATCAAAGTCATCATAGGACAGATATTCTAACGTTGTGTTGGCATAGTCCACTTCGTATTTTTTTTATCTAAACTAAGAATAATCACAAGAATGTTTTCAGGCCAAAATCGGCAGAAAAAAAAAAGAATATTTAGCTCGAGCCGGAAAAACAGTAGTCTCAGTTATATAAAAATTGCGAATTACACACTCATCTTTCCGTCCAACTTCGCCTTAAAAGCCCAGTTTCCTGTTGGATAACTGATGTAGAATCATCTTGTCAAATTGCGGCTTTCAGACCGACGGATGTTTTGGTTACTGAGCGGTTCAACTTTGTGGAATGAGCTCGGAATCCATCGTGCCCTCTTGCGGTTTGCTGGGATGGTACGGAACTAACGGAAGAGTTAATCAATATGGCTTACTTTATATGCTTCCTGTTCTTTTCCTGTTCAATCAACACACGAGATGAAAATAAACGCAATCAAATGTCCGCTTGACCAACCTGAAACAACATTTACATATCCGTTTCTCCAAGCCCAATAAACGACTGAAAAACCAAACCAATGCGAGAGTTAAGGCATTTTTTCCCAAGGGGGTTGTGCGTTTTCAATGGGAAAAAAAACCAAAGGCATTGTTTCGATCTTGAGGTCGGGCTTGTAACGTACGGCTAAACTTTTTTTCAAAAGATAGTTCCCGAACATTGGTCCGAGAGAAGATCACATGACATAACTCTTTCGTTACTCTGAAAACATATTCAATCAATTCTGGTACACTCATTAGTAGTTTTAAATGTTTGACCTACCGTGACGCGTTAGTATTTATTCTGAGAACAGGCTAGTGGGAATAGCGGTCTGTATAAAAGACAATTATAGTGCCCTAGTGATGGTTTTCTCTACTCTCCACGCTTTTCTGCTTGACTACGTCTGGATTTTATAAAGAGAAGTTAGAAATCGAAATTGGTGACACTGGAATTAGAAATTTGTCAGCGCCAAACCCACCGATGACGTCATCGCTTATGGCCACTGTACTAATAGTGATGAGCAAGCAATACCAAATTATAGAAACACATTCTTTGTCTGTTCAAAAGGCTTGCTGGCTTTTCAAATTAGCGGTGTTTTTAAAGGATTGAGAGCAGTTTTAATACTTTCCTTCTTTACGATCGATTGAATCGGCTTAGGTATTAAAGTTTTAAAAGGCGCCGTGTATTCGCATACCTCTAACAGCAAAACTTGCTGATAAAAAATTAAAGCGGTATCACTTATCACCAAGGTAAATGCCTTGATTTTCTCTTGTTTATATCTCTCATCGCATTTCATACATATGAATCTATGAATGATATGAACTATACAGGTGGATGAAAAGTGGTCTTGGCGAGCTGATAAATTTTGAAATCTATATATAAACAAAGTATTAGTAATAACCTTCATTTTTCACAAAAAATATGCCGTATATTCGTCCGTAATAGATGTATACATAGCGCCGTATCTGTTTCGACCATTCAAGAAGTGAGCACAGCCTTCCAGAGCGAAGCTCAACCGAGGTAATCTGTGGGTTTTGAGGAACAGATGTGTTTTCCATACTTTCAGTTTTCCTCATCTTAACCCCAATTCATGATCGAAAAATCACTTGATTATTCGACCGAAGAACGTAAAACTCAAATTTTGAATATTAATGTTTGTTTGTTTCGGAATAGGTGCTACCTAGAGATGGAGGGAAAAAAAACAGTGTTTGTATTGCTTAAGTTTCGTGTCATCTGCATTTTGCAATACAATATTTAACAGTAAAAGCGTCGAAAACTTTTTCTATCATATCCGACTGAATTTCGGTGGAAAAGGGGGTAGGAATTTGGCTGAATACAAAGTCGCTCAGGGATTCTTTGCCGGGGTGTGGCTAGCCTGCGAACAGGCTCCCGGCGAGCCCAATGTCAGCTCGCTCTGTTTGCTGAATTTTTTTTTCTGTCCAGCCATCTTGACGAGACAAGCTTGGTAAATAAAGGGTTTACTCACTTTATGGAAAAAGAACACCAGGATGAGTTTTTGATAACACTATTTTCATGCGGGAAACAGCGGGTAATCCCGAGCGGGCAAGATATAGAGCCATCTAGCCAATCACAGCGCTCCGCTCGCGGAGCTAGCCATATAGTAAGAAAGACTGTAGTATAATACTTCTAGGACAAGAACAGTGTAAAAAATGGTTTAGCTTTAGTGACATTGAACAAGAGAAGATAAAGATCTTGTCCATTGAGGACAATCAGGTCACTTTAAAGAGGACAATAATAATTTCTCATGTTCGATCGTCGATTTGTTATCTTGTCGACTGAACATCTTAATTATCTTGTTGTGCTCTCCTGAAATAAATTACATGTCTCTTGTAATTTGTAACTCTTTCGCGTATATTTAAAAAGGCAATCGTTGCTATATGTGACTCAGTAGTTAGTTATACGTTTTACCCTGATAGATTTTGTGAGGAAGCCAACTGAATGAGACGTAATTAATTTGGTGACCTAACTCTGTCCTTTTCCTGACTTCAAAACAACTCTTTTAAAAAATGTATTGCGGTAAAAGTATTAGCCTGCGTAGCAAGCGTTTCTGTGGGGTTCGGGAACAAAGAATTACAGCGCCAAAAATGGACCGAATAAAAGAGGGGGGAGGGGGAGGGGAAGGAAGGAAGG